TATTAATATTTTTTGATCTGGTGCTTAGTAAGAATAAAAGTTCTTTGGAAGTTTGGGGGAAAAAAGTATGTTCTCTCCTCCTCGCTCTCTCTTATCCTCACACTTGCTCTCACTCTCTTACTCTCTCACTGTCTCTCTCTTTCTCTGTGTGTACTTGATCTGTCTTAGTTATATTTTTCATTCTTCCATGAAAAATGTTTTTTATAAAACTATCATTGTGCTTCTAAGAGACTTTTAAAATATGCATATTTGGCTGCCAGTTATTAAATTCATGAAGGCTCATAGTAATCATGTCTACATTTGGGGTATTAGCTATTAAATACTAAACCTCCACAACCCAGCCTCCAGGGCCTAGGCCACCTTCCCTGTCTGCCCTCAAGCCTCACCAGCCCCCAGTCTTGTCTTTCCTCTACACTTCTACCACTCATCTTTCAGGTGTTCAAACACAGTCTACTTCACCTACCTCAGGGACTTTGCACATGGGTCACCTTCCTTGGATGTATCTTGTCCAAATGCTTTATGTAGCTAATACCAACTCTGTTTTCAAGTCCAAATCTAAATATCACTTTTTTTTTCCTACATTCAATCTAAAATACACAATCTAAATTCAGTACTCCTGTGACTGTTCTGTGGCATCTGGTAATAGCTTTCCTTCCTAGTACTGATCACAGTTAGCAATTCTGTTTCTATCAGAATAGAATATGGTGTAGTATCGTTGTATAGTATTAGTCTCTCCAGCTAGTCTATAAGCTCCACAAGGGCATGGATTGTAACTGTTGCACTCACCACTGTGTCTGCATTTACAAGTACAGTCAGTGCCTGGTCCATAGTAGACATCACTTCTTAACGTATATAAACATACACAGTTAAGAAACTCACCCACCTGACTATAATCCAGAAGAAGAGAGTAATTTAAACTGGGTCACTCAATTTCTAACAATGAATAAAAATTTAATATATATATATATGTATGTTCATATAAAAACAAAGCTAAGCATCTATTTCCTATTCTGATCACTGTTTCTCCTCTGCCCTGCTATATGAACACACAAATAAATGAAGAATGTATCTAAGTATATGGAATTTTAGTGAGATTTATGTTCTAGTTTTACTGAAAATGTCTTGATTTGTATGACAGATAGAAATCATGCAATTTGACCTCTACTCTGCTTATGAACTTAATTGTTTACTTTCAGCTTCTGGAAAATGTTTTCAAGAGCCCATTCCCAGAAGAGTTTTTGGTCCTTTTCAGAAACTGGATCAATGATCCTAATCCTTCAGTTAGCAAACTGAGCCTTCAGAAAATTTCCAGCATGGCACCAGTTATCAATGAGGTATGTGTGTGGAATTTGTGTCTGCCAGCGCCAAAAAAGTCATGATATATAATTTTGATATTGCTCAGTATCTTTACTGATAAAACATTGATATTTTTCAGTTTCCATATAGCTTAAACAATATTGAAGCCTGGTATTTTATCAATCAGGAAACTGAGTTGAATGGAAAGGATATGTTAAGTCAATTTAGTGGCCTTATCACCTTATTTATATATTTTTACAGAAAATTATTCATTACACTCAGAATTTATCACCATTTCCTGACATGAACACTCTTCTGACACTCTAAACCACACACAGATAACTTTCCCTCCAACACACGCACATTTATACACACTAGCACCTACCTCAGAGCTTTTTCTTCCATACCTAATACTTTCCTCCTTAACACATTCATATTCACATTTTTCTTATTTTTCAATGGTCAGCTCGAGTCAAGCTGCACTGAATAATTTGATCTCCAGCAGCCTCATTCCTCTCAGAGCCAAAACAATGAAGAGCGCTTACTTGTATAATGTTTTATATCAGTGGTCCTCACGGTGTGGTCCCTGAACCAGCAGGGCCAGCAGCACCTGGAAACTTGTTAGAAATGCAAATTGTCAGTCCCCACTCGCCCAGGCTTATGGAATTAGAAATTCGGGGGGTGAGGCCAACCAATCCGTGTTTTCAGAAGTCCTCCGGGTGCCTAATGAGTCACTGTCTTACATGGTTTCACACTAACTTGTGAATGATGTTACCAAAAATTTGGTCACTTGTCCTTGAGACCAAATCAGAAGGATGAGGTCAAGTGGACTGAGGAGAAAGGAAAAAGAGTTTACTCTGCAAAGGAGGAAAAATGGTAGGCCTTCTCATCTCAAAATCTAAATTTTCTTGAACATAGCAGAAATACTGAGCTATTAAAGGGAAGGTTCTCAGCTTCAGGTAATTACTATGGTTAACAATTCTTAATTGCCCATCTCAGCCAAAGACAAAGCCTGGGAACTCAGTAGCCCACATAGGGGGCTGTCGCCACCTGGGAGTTTTAACAAAAAATTTAACCTGCTTCAGGGAGGCAGGCCAGCCTGCAGGTCCCCAAATCAGTGGAGGAAGTTTTAAAGAGACAGAAAAGCTTTATGCCATTTCCCCCTCAGGTCATTCCCTCTGTTACATGAATACTTCTTGCCTTCTAAGTCACTTGAATTTAAGCATGCTCCTGTGTTTTATATAATAGCCTTAAATTCCAAAGTATCTTGCACAATGCTGACATTAATTCATTATTGATTTAATAATAAATCTAATAATAAATCCTTGTTTACCTATTGAGCGTAGTGTCTGAAAGCTTATACCTATCAGGGGAAAGTCAATAGGTTTATTATTGATTATTATTAACATTATTAATTATTAATTATTAATAACATTATTATTAACAATGTACATCCTTTTAGTAAGCAGCAAGTTATGTCTTGCTTTGCCCAGAGCTCTTCTCAATGTTCTCAACAACTGAAAGGGAGATGCTGTATTAAGCCTAGCTAGGAGAGTGAACGAAAAGCAGTGGAGAGGGGCCTGGGTTGAGATTTCACATAATATTAGTAAAGACTCAACTTTCCAGCCAGACACAAGTGGCTTCTTGCATTGACATAGTTCTTAATTCAATTTTTTTCTCCTTACGATTTTTTCTCCTTATTTGGCATATAATATTTATTCATTTCCTCTATTCCTTTTCTTCCTACCTTTCTCTTCTTTTGTGTCTCCTTTTCATGTTTTTCCTTGCCTTCTATTCTGTTTGGCTCTGATCTGCAGTTGAGTCCCATAACCTGTTTCAGCTGCTCTGCAATTCTCATGTCCAAACTGGTCACAACAACCAGCTCTCTGGAAACAAGACCAATTTCCCTGGTTTAAATATCCCCACCATATCTAATTTCAAGCTGTCAAGGGGACTGAGCATGGAGTTGGGAAGAGATGCCCCTCCTCACATAATTTAATGTTTCCACCATTTGAATACATGACACATAAATAACCTCAAGAGCATGGATAATAGTAAAATGTAGCAAAAGAAGTAGGAAGTGATAAATTTTTAGTATTTATTGCCATTGTTTTTATTTAATTCTAAATCTATAGAGTTTAATTTTCAATAATGGCTTGTTTTAACGATCAGCTTTGAAGAGTTTTGACAATTGAACAGTTGTCTCTTGTGAACTAGCTCCAGCACACCATGATGTGCAGCCCAAACTCAGCAGTGTGCATATCAAACGCCAGTACGAGTCTTCTACTTCCATAATCTCACCATTTTCCTCCTTTTACATGTAGATAGAAAATAGCTGCAGCTTATTAATAGCCATCCTGGATGCCTTCCTTTCCGAAGACAATACGGTTATAATTCGGGCTTTGTTCACCCTCCGAAAACTTTTAGACAAACTGGACAAGGTGACCTACTCCACTTTGTGCAACACAATTGCTTCCAGCTACTGTCCTCTGATGGATCACGTGAGTTGCACAGTTAGATGTGTGAGATCATTAGGTTTTGTAGTTCAGCTGAAGCTCCAATTGAGGCAATGATATTATATCACAGAATAAGTTAACAGAAAATAGCCATTTTGTAAGAAGCTACCATTTCTTTTCCAGAGATAACAATATTAGGTAAGTGCTATTCTTTTTTTTTTTTTTCTTTAACTGCACTCTGAGAACCTAGAAAATTCTGCCCATAAATAAGGAGAATCAAAGAACAACCTCTATCCTTGATATGAAAGAGGCATTACAGCTTAGTGGCTACAGATTGATTAACCCTGAATCTGGATTGTCTGGGTTCAAATCCCTGTTCTGCCTCTTATTCACTGTGAAATTGTGAATAAATGATTTCTTCAATCTCTTGGTGCATTACTTTCCTCATCAGCAAAACAGAGACAGTAGTAGGTTTATCATAAGGATTAGAGTTGATGTGCCATATCCCAAGTAAATATCTGTTATCATATTTTAATTATAATACTTGAATTAAAATGTATTTCATGAGAAAATTGTGCATTTTGAAAATTTTCATTTTATATAATAAATATGTTCCAGAAAAGTTGAATGACAGTAATATATTTTAATAAAGAAGAACCCTTGGGTAGCCATGAGAAATCCATATATTTTTAAAGACTTCATAAGAAGTTGTTTATGAATGAGAAAATTATTTCATAATAAATTATCTTGCCAAAAGTTATGTTTTTAATTATTCATATTTCAATGAAGAAGGGCACACTATTATTAACTTATAGAAAGAAGGAATTTGGTGGCAAAAATGATTTTTATAAAGACATAATGATAATAATAGTAGTGGCTTAATTTATTGCACATTTACTATGTACCAGACACTTCTCTAAGAAGTTTACATGAGCTACCTAGAAAATATATTTGTACCAAAGAAAATAAATAGACATCTCTAAGCAGCTCTATTACTATTATCCAGTTCACATATAAGAAAACTGAGGCAAAGAGAAGTCAATATTTGGCCAAGATCATACCAACTGATAAAGTCATTGGAATCTTCATATAAAAAAATTATTTTCTAAATGAGATCATAAACATTTACTTAAAACTGGAAGTTGATATTACATTTTTTTAAAATTAACTTCTGACTTGCAATTTTTCTTTTCTAGAATCTTTATAATTCAATCACCTTCCTATTTGGCATAAGTAGCTCTTGGAAACCTGGTTGTGTGCCAGTATGCGAAGAGGTCACTTTGTTATTCAGTAGCAACTCTGCAGAGTCCTCGAGCATGTGAATGCACCATGGTTACGTTACTATAAGTATCTTTATAGAAATTATCCTCAAATTATACAGATTATTCTAGTTTATACTTTCAGGGTGTTATTAAATACTAATCATCTTCCTGAATTTAAGAAACTCATTTTTCATGGGAGATTTTTTTTTAATGCAATCCGTATTTTGGTAAATAAATGTTTTGTTTTGTTTTGTTTTGTTACCAGTTTAAATATTTTCCCCAGCTTTAGTAAGGCATAACTGAGACATAAAAATTCTATGTATTTATAGAATGGTAGGTCCGGAGTCAAGAGACACGGGAAGCCTCATGTGTAGCAAAATGCTGTTCATTTTGGGCATCCGGGTGCAGATGGGTGGAGGCCAAAAAAGGCATCCACCCTGAGGGTAGGGAAAGCCTTGGGTTTTACAGAGAGTTTCTTTGGGGGGAATGAGTAACTGGGCCAGAACAGCCACTGCAATAAAATTTTTTAAACCATCAATTTCAGGGACCCCTGCTAAGATAAGTAAGGGAAGGTGCTGGTTGTGTCCTTATCAGCGGGGATAGGAATGCCAGCATTTGGAGCTGTCTGGTTTTACAACCTTGGGGACTCTCCAGATTTCTGCGACTATTGTTTTAGAAGCGTTAAGTTCTCCATCAACCGCATTCCATCCTATACATACTTTTCGGTTTCCCACCTGGGACAAACCTAACACAGAATCCAATGTAATTGTTTTGATATATGTATATACTGCGAAATGATTAAATCAAGCTAATTGACATATCCATCGCCTCACGTGTCATATTTTTTTGTGGTAAAAACATTTAAGATCTAATTTCTTAGAAAGTTTCAAGTATAAAATATGTTATTATTAACTACAGTCACCATGCTGCACATTAGATCTCCAGAAATTATTCATCCTGCCTAACTGACACTTTGTCAGTTTGGCCAACATCTTCCCCAACTCCTACCCCAAGCTTTTGCCACGGGCAACCACCCTTGTACTCTTTGCTTCTATGAGTTCAAACTTTTACTATTCCACATATAAGTGAGATCCTGCAGCATTTGTCTTTCTGTGCCTGGCTGATTTCACCTAGCATGATAAACCTCCAGGTTTCTCTATGTGGTCATAAATTATAGGATTTCCTTCTTTTTAAGGCTGAAGTGCACACTATTGTACGCATATTCCACATCCTCTCTATTCATTCTTCCACTGATGGGTTGATTCCATATCTTGACTATTGTGAATAATTGGTAAGCAAATCCTATTTTAAATCTTATTATAAAAGAAGAGCTAACTACTCAGACCCAAGGTGAATCTTTTCTAAAATTAATGATAATAATTTCATATAACATATATGTATATATACATATATAGTGCACATAATTACATATATATATATTGCCTGTGTATATTCCACTGATTAAAAAATGAAGCATTAACAGTATCCTCAAGTGAGGCCTTTTTCTTTTTCTATGTGCATATTCCAGAGTAATGCAAGCATTCGAAGTGTAGCCGTTCGACACTTTGGTGAATTACTTAACGATATGTGTCAGTACACATGGATGCTCAACAGTGTGATTGTAGGAGGCTTGGTGCCCCTGATCCTGTTTTTGGAGGATAGAGACACAAGGGTAGTTAAAGTAAGTCACTTAATCTCGTTTTTCTTAATTTTATAGAGAATCACAATGTTTTGTTCTAACAGTGGATGAATAGATCCTCATTAACCCCTTTTTCTGTCTCACAGGCATGTAAATTTACATTACAAATCTGTATCTCACAATTAAAGTGGCCCATACCATGTTTGCTCAAAGATAGAAGTTACAGTTTTGAGCTGTTGGTGCTCAGCATCTGTAACAATCTTGTAAGTGGCCCTACCATTTTTACTATCCATAAGACTTATAGACAAAACTTAAAGGATATCCAAAGTGATGAAAAGTTTGGTGGGAGTAAAGGTAGATCTTAGAGAAAGAATGTGAAGGAAAGATCTTAAATGAGTGATTATAGCTAGGGCTTGAGATGTGAGGAAATTAGAACTTTCCACTTTCTCTTCCTCACATTAATCATTCATCTTAGCTTCTTCCTCCAAACCACCTACTTTGAGCTATGAATGGATCCAAAGATAGAAAGAGCATTCCAGATCGCCAAAAAGAACATTGAAACTGCATTGCCACTGCCTTGTGATCTGGTCCTCTGAACCCCAGCATGAACTGCAGTAATCGACAAGTGGGGGTGGAAGAATGCTAGCCAAAGATGGTAACACAAAGTTGGATTTGAAAATCATATCATAAATGGAATAATACCTGCAAGCGAAAGAGTATAGTTCACATATAAAAATCCCCAACTTTTAAATTGGTCCTGATTTGGTATAAACAACCAAGTTCTTTTCTCTTGAAGCCTTTCTGGAAGAAGCAATTGTGCTTTTTCAATAATTGAAAGAAGGTTTTTTTTTTTTCCTTTTTATTCTCAGATCATTACTCATAGGAACCATATTACAGATTTGATATCTGACACGTTAGGGTTCCTGGGGAGTTCCCGAACATATCTGAGGAGAACATCAACTATTTTATTAGGTAAGTAAAATTCAATTCTTATAGCCTAATTTGTCTTAAAAGGTATAAAATAAGGAAGCCCCTGGAAGTCTTCTTTAAAATGTTATAAATTTTCTTGGTTTATGATGGACAGCACCTGTCATGGTGATATTTATGATTCAAAAAAAAAAAAAGGCTAGGTGCGGTGGCTCATGCCTGTAATCCTAGCACTCCGGGAGGCTGAGGCGGGCAGATCATTTGAGCTCAGGAGTTCGAGACCAGCCTGATCAAGAGCAAGACATCGTCTCTACCAAAAATAGAAAGAAATTAGCCAAACAACTAAAAATAGAAAAAAAAAAATAGAGGTTAATACATGTGATGATAATAGGGTTCTATTTTATATCACACAAAGTGAATATAGCTATATGATTAAATTATATAGTGTGTTCGACAGGGTGGATTTTAAAATTTAATATGGTGACAGATCACTGCTCATTATTCTCCTTCATTGCTTAAAAATCACTACTCAATGAATAAGAATAATCAAAATATATATATAAATATCGTCTTCAACACAACTTGGACATCTGTAACCACAAACTACAACAGACAAGGGAGAGCTAGCTACCAAATCCAATAAAGTTAAAAAAAAAAAAAGAGGGGCAGAAGAGAGTTCAGGAAGACTGTAAGAGCAGACAACTAAAGTTTGTGATCTTGCACAAACCTGACCAGTTTTCTCCAGGAGATTCTCACTGTGGAGATCAAAATTAATAATCTCTTATTTTGGAATTCCCGACTTAGTGGTGAGTTCCCAACTTGGTAGTGGGATCTTCCCTTTACCCTATTTGGCTCCATGGAGTAACAGGGGTAGCAATGAGTGAGGAAATACACGGTTAAGTTAGCATGCAAGAATAATGGAAATCCTAACCAAAAAGAATAATGACTGTGGACTAGCCCTATCAGACATTAATATGGCTACAGTAATTAAAATCACATAGAATGAATGGGCAGATAAATGGAACAAAATGTTATCCAGAAATAATCCCCTAAACATACAATATTTTAGAAAGTGAATCATTGGTTTTAACTAACAGTGATGAAAATGTATAATATTCCTTAAAATTGTATTGGGACACCTGGTGGGCCATCTGAAATTTTTAAAATAATCTTGTTCCTATCTTATTCCTTCATCTAAATATATCCCAGATGGTCAAAGGTTCAAATGCTAACAATGAAACTACAATAACAAATAAAATTAGATAAAGTAATATGAAAAAAAATTGCTTTACAATCATGGGGTGGGGGAGATCTTTCTAAGTAAAAGTTGAAAGCAGCCATAAAGAAAAGATTGACAGGTATAGAAAAATGAAACATTTTTGTAACCCAAAGCCACTATAAACAAAGTCAAAAGAAAAATTGAGTTGAAATAGTTATACTTGTCACAGGAAAATGGTGAATTCTCACTCTCTAAGGAATCTTTACAAATCCATAAGAAAAGACAACTGTCCGGTAGAAAAATGGACAAAGAACAAGAAAAAATTTTATTTGGGTCTTAAACATACATTTTTCACAAATTTATCTAAAAAGTGGTGCAAATTAAAATGAAATGTTTCGGCTCAAGTATCCAAAGATCAAAACTTTTATACTGTATGATTTTTGTCAAATTTGCAGGAAGTGAGCAAAATGTGAGCAAAATTTGCAGAATGTGAGCATGGTCTCACATTACTGGTGAGACCATAAATTGTTACTAGCTCTAAGGAGGAATTTGGTAATATTCAACAAGATGAGAAATGCACATTCTTTTGGCTCAGTAATCTCCTCTCAAGAGAATTTATCCTCATATACACACGGTAGAAACAATGTGTGTATGTAGCTACTCACTGCGTCTCTGTGCACTCTCTTCCATCCTTATCAGGTGGCTTTTATCCTCATTTGTGTTTTCTGATGACCTTCAGCATTTCAACAGTGTTATACCGAGAAAGAAAGAAAAAAGTAAAGAACAAAAGGTGCATTTTCCAACTGTGTCAGCCCAGTTTTACAAAGCTGTCTTCAAACTGCCAGTGACTTATCTTATAGTCCCAATGACCAGAATTGTCACGGTACCAACATTAGTTCAAGAGGTGGTTGGAAATATGATGATTTCAGTGGGCAACAAGGGGACAATGATATGGGATTGACAGCTAGCAATATGCTACAATTGTTAACATTTAAAATTTGACAGAAACATGAATATCTGGGACTCCAGTTATTCATGAGAAAAAAGAAGATTGAGTCACATTGAACCTGCATTTCGGCATGGTAACGATTTGTGGATGGAGCCTGTACCTCCTGCTCACCACACTGCCCACCCCGCCTATTACATTCTTCCACATGAGAGCACCTGGTTACCCACAGGGACCTTTGCACCTTGGTGACTCTGCCATGTTTTCCAAAGCATCAAATTATGTTTGAAAGTTCATTTGTGACTTTCAAAAACATGATATCAGTAGAGCCATTTAATTTTCAGGTGTTTTTGCCTAATTTCTCCACTTACTTTGTGTTTTGTGTGTGTGTATGTGTATGAATGTGTGTGTGGTAATATTATATTCATGAAATAAGTTTCAGCAGCTGGAAGAAAGCTCCAAATATAAATATGGCTTAAACAACTCTATGGCTTACACAAGATTTTAATTTACTTCTCTCTCACGCAGCAGTACAAATGTAAGTAGACTAGAGCCAGCTCTTTTTCTCTTCTAAGCATTCTCATCACACAGCATTCCACATCGGGTCCAAAACATTTGCTCCAACTCCTGCGACCACTTCCACATTTCAGCTGGTTAGAAAGAAAAAGATATGAAGAGGTCACACCCATTCCTTTAAAGAAAAAATACCACTTATGCTAAACGAGTGCTGGCCCAGAACATAAACATATTGTCATACCTAGCTACCAAGAAGTCTTAAAAATCTAGTCATTAGCTGGGTGGCTAGCTCAGCCTCAGCAGTTATAGTAAGAACACTAAAGAAAAAGAAACAATTTGACATTAGAGGGAATTAGTACTTGCTAGCATAAAAAACTTTCATTCATTTATTTGTAGCCTCATCTAATTCTAAAAGGAATTGCAATGGAATACAAAATTAAACAGAAAAGCACACTAATTCAGGACACCCTCACAACACAAATTTTTGTAACAAGTATTATTCTTAAATTTTTAAGCCCATGTTTCACTGGCCAATAAGAGTATCTTGAACTCTGCTAACTATAGATTGTATTATGAAAATGATTATTGTGCATTTCTTAGTCACTATTTTAACTGAAGCAGAGGAAAAACATAAAATATTGGTTTAAGAGTAAAATAAGCAAAGGAGATACTGCTATTTGAGACAAAAAAAAAAAAAAAGATGAACCTAGAGAACATAATGCTAACCAAAATAAAGACAAAGAAAGAAAAATACTGCATGATCTCGCTTATATGTGTGATCTAAAATAAGTTGAATTCATAGAAACAGAAAGCAGAATGGTGGGTACTAGGGGCAGGGGAGGGAGGAATTTGGAGACATAGGTAAAAAAGTACAAATCTGCAGTTATATAAGGTGAATAAATCTAGAGATCTAATAAAGCATGAGAAATATAGTCAATACTATTGTATGGTATATTGGAAATTTGCTAAGATAGTAAATTTTAAGTATTCTTACCTAAAAGAACACTTAAAACACAAAAGGTAACTGCTGTGTGAGACTATAGATATGTTAATTTGCTTGATTGCATTATTCACTTCACTGGGTGTATGTATATCAAAACATTATGTTGCAAACAGAAACTTTTCAAAAGAAGACAGACTAATGGCCAATAAATGTATGAAAAAATGCTCAACATCTCTAATCATCAGAGAAATGCAAATCTAAACCACAATGAGATATCACTGAACTCCAGTGAGAATAGTTTTTATCAAAAAGTCACCAAACAACAAATGTTGCCATTGCCGTTGATACCGAGAGATAGGAACACTCATGCGCTGCTGATGGGACTGCAAACTAGTACAGCCTCCATGGAAAGGAGTTGGAGATACCTCAAGGAACTAAAAGTAGAACTACCATTTGATCCAGCAATCCCACTGCTGGGTATCTACCCAGAGGGAAAAAAAACATTCTATAAAAACGATATCTGCACCCAAATGTTTATAGCAGCACAATTCACAATTGCAAAGATGTGGAAACAACCCAAGTGCCCATCAATACATGAGTGGATTAACAAAATGTGATATATGTATACCATGGAGTACTACTCAGCCATTAAAAAAAAAAAAGATGAACTTCCTATTGTATTATCCTGGATGGACCTGGAGCCCATTCTTCTAAGTAAAGTATCACAAAAATGGAAAAACAAATGCCATATGTACTCACCATTAAATGGTACTGATCAACACTAATGTGCACATACCATTCATCAGGTGTTGGGCAGGTTGGAGGAAGGTAGAGGGGATAGGTAAATCCACTCCTAAGGGATAGAGTTCATGCTGTCCGGGGGATGGGCATGCTCATAGCTCTGCTCGAGAGGTGCAAAGATAATCTATATAACCAAAACATTTGTACCCCAACAATGCTCTGAATTAAAAAAACTAATAAAAAATTATGATGTATGCCTTAAATATATACAACAGGAAAATACATTTTATATTCTGATTACAGTATAAAAAATAGATAAGCTTGCATTCAATCTTAGAATGAACACATACTGGCCATTTGACCTTTGCCAAATTACTTAATCTCTATGAACTTTGGTTTTATCAAGTGTAAAAGAAGGTTAATACAAACAGCTTCACAAAATGGTTGTGCATATTAATTGAAATAAAGCACCCACAAGAGTGTCTAGCGCATAGGAGACGTTCAGTCCTTTGTAGCATTTTGTTTTTATCCAGTTCTTATATTTCAAGTCACTTTAAATTTCTGCTTCTACCAATGGTTGGCTAATTTGTTTTAGGCCTGGCTCTTGCTAAGAGTAATTAGAAAAGTCAGGGGATGGGGGATATTTTAAAAACTTTTGAAGATATTAGGAGAACTTTTATAAAGGCAGTAATCCAGAATAGACTAGAAAATCCAAAAGAAGTAGCCTGATATTTCGAGATTATTTTACTTTTTAAGTTTTACCAATTCTAATTGCAAAAATGGTAGTTAAGGGGCTGATAAGCTATGCAGAAATTTTAGCAGTATCACTGAGCTAAAGAAACTAAACTTGCAGTGGACTAACATTGAGGAGAAATTGTAATAAACACACCCAGGCATTCAGCTGGGATTTCTGATGGCCCTAACCTAGGAGTAAGAGTAAACTAGAAATAGGCCAGCCCTCACAATGACTGAAGCCTTAAATATCTAATTCCCTGGTTGGCTTACAGGGATATATCTCTAGCCTAACTGTCTGACAAATGCAAAAATAAATTCTCTTTGAGAGAAGATAAACTGCCCAGAGATTCATATTCTCTACAAAAAATTTTATACGCAATAGCTGACATTTAATTAAAAATTATGAGATGTATAGAAAGATTTTTTAACTATAAGAAAAAACTCAATAAAAATGGAATTCAGGATGTGTAGTTATTAAAGTTGTTAGATATGCACTTTAAAGTAAATATGATTGCTATATTCAAAATATTAAATTAAATAATGAGATGGAATACAGAACTCAATGGATGAAATTAGCAGCAGATTAGAAAGAGTTTAAAAGAGAATTAGATATGTCAGAATACAATATTCAACCTCAAGACAAAACGAAGAAATAAAAATGGAAAAGATGAAGAGAGCATAAGATAACACAAAACATGATTAAACAATCTAACATAGGCATTCCACAAAAAGAGAGGGGAGAGAATGAACAGAAGAATTACTTGAAGAGATAATGATCAAGAGTTTTCCAAAGCTAAAATAAGTCAACAGCAAAAAGTAAAATATCTAAGTTTGAATAAAAGAAAATCAAACTTTCAAAATTTACAGATAAGTAGTTGCATGTTTAAATTATTGGAAGGAATTAAGAAAAACTACTCTAATTAATAAATTAATTTGCCAAGTTTTCTAGATATAACATCAATATACAAAGATTAATTTGATTTCTATACACAAGCAATAAATAATTAGAAAATTGTTTTTAAATACCAAACATAATAGCACCAAAAATCATCAAGTACCTGAAATAAAACTAAAAGAATATGTATAAAACAAATACACAGAAAACTAGAAAACACTGAGAAAATTTTATAAAGACTTAAATACAGGGATATATCATGGTCATGGATTGAAAGGTTAAATATTGTAATAATGTCAGTTCTCCCCAAATTGATATATGTAGAATCAATACAATCCCAAACAAAATCTCATTGGGTTTTGGGAGTGTGTGTATGAAATTTGACAAGCTGATTATAAACTTTATGTGAAAATTTAAAGGTTTGAGAATAGCTAAGATAATTTAAAGAGGACACAGAGTCAAACAAAGGACTTGTACCACAGGCTATCAAGGTACATTATATTAATACATGAAGGCAGTGTGGTAGTGGCACAATGACAGACAGACCAAATGGAGTCAACACATTGATCCACACACAATTTATGATATAGGTGACCCTGCCAAGCAGTAAGAAAAGGACAGGTTTTCCTTTAATGGTGCAATGTCAGTTAAACAAGTATACATATAATAAAAATATCTGGACCCCTCCTTCATGCCATATAATTCCAATTGGACTATAGATCTAACTCCAAAATGTGAAAAAATAAAATAAAACTTCTAGAAGTAAATATAGGAGAATAGACAGGCAAATATTTCCTAACAGGACTCCAAAATTTCCTAACTATAAATGAAAAGATGAGGAATTAGACTACATTAAAATTAGGAACTTATGTACATCAAAAAAAAAAAATACAAGTGGACAAGTTTAACCATTGGATGGAGAAGATATTTGCAAGGCATATAACATTAAAAATAATTAGTAGCCAGAATTTAAAAAATGCCTACAAATAAATAAGGAAAATGTAACTCAATGTAAAAACTGGCAGGAGACTTACTTGAATAAGCACTTCACAAAAGAAGATATTCAAATGACCAATAAATACACAACAAAACTCTTAGTAATCAACACAAAAATGAAAATTAAACCACAATGTAGCACTACCACTAAATCCATGAGAATGACTGAAAGGAAAAAGATTACAGCATTAAATATTGGAGAGGACACAGAGCATAGAAATGTTCATACGCTGTTGGTGGGAGTGAAAATTGGTACAATCACCTTGGAAAACTGTTTGTCAGTAACCTTTAAGGTTGAACATAAGCATATCCATTACCCAGTAAATCCACTCCTAGTTATATAGCAAACACAAATTATACAAATACATGCCAAACTTACTGTACAAGAATGCCCATAACATCATTATTCATAATAGTCCCAAACTACAAACGACTCAAATGTCCATCATCAGCAGAATGGATTAAAAAAAATCAAAAACACTGCATTCATAAGATGAGCTGTCATAAAACATGGTTCAGCAAAATCTTTCTGTTAAAGACTCAATAGTAAATATTTTAGATTTTGAGTGCCATATGGCCTCTGTTGCAACTACTCAACTCTACTGTGGTAGACTGAAAATAGTCATAGACATGACTATTTTGAGCCATGACTATTTTGAGTCATAGATCATGACTAACATGAGCCAGTGTACATGGCTGTGTTTCAAGAAAACTTTATCTGACAGCCTTTGCCACATACAATGGAAATGAATGAACTATAGCTACATGAAAGAACATGGATGAATCTCACAATGCAATGTGAAGCAAAAGAAAGCAGACAAGGTGGAGAATGAGTTTGGGAGGGGCTTGAGGGAAGATTCTGGGGTGCTACTAATCTTTTTAAAAACCTGGGTGATAGCTTTGGTGTGTTCACTTTGTGGTCATTCATTGAGCAGTCCAATATGATTTGTGTACATTTATACATATACATGTATTATGATAAACAACTTTATGAAATAATAATTATTTGAAATCACTAAAAGATAACTTAAAGATAATCTACAGAATTTTTGCTTTGGTAAAAGCAAAGAAGGTAGCCAGATAACATCAGAGAGAATGTATTTTCATAATGTATTTTGGGGTAACTTTAATTTTACTTTGTGTATAGGATATTTGACAAAAGTGGGTGGCTCTTTGCTCCTCAGAGATGAAGTTGAAGTCATGCTTGGGGGTAAGTATTGAGGTTATAATGAAATCTGTATGCATAGATCTAAACAAATGTACTGTGTATGATTCTAGTCACATACGAGTTTTTTAGGGTCCCGGATGTGGGGAAGGTGGTAATGAGAAGGTGGTTATGGGGAAATCAGCCAAAGGACTAGGTTAAAGGGCATCTTTTTTCTCTTTCTATTTCTCTCATTCTCTCTCCGTGTGTCACTCTATTCATTTGTCCCTCTCATTGTCTGAGACCTAACCATCATCCTAGAGCCCTTAGGAACTACAGAAAGTTGAGGATTCATTCGATCATTCATCCAACAGATATGTTTTCAGAATCTTTTATGTGGCAACACTATTCTAGCTGTTGAGGATAGAGCAGCAAATAAAGCAAAGTCTCGTTCCTCAGTGCATTTACATCTTAGTGGCTAGCATTTGCACAATACATTTGCAGAGGAGGAACTTAAGGGTAATATGATTCTATCAAAATGTTTAGGTCTCAGGGATCTCTCTGTTAGCCTCTGTCTATTGCCCCATGGGGTCAGAATTACGAACAGGTGTAATCCTGTTATAAAATAGGATGGCTGCCTTCTTTCCTTACAGTTTTAAGTTCACAGCAAAATTGAGCTGGACGTACAGAGATTTCCCATGTCCCCTCTGCCCCCACCTATGCACAGCCCACCCCATTATCAGCAGCACCCACCACAGTAGTACATTTGTTATAATTTAGGGACCTACATTGACACATCATTATCTTCCTTCCTTTTTGATTCATTCATCACTCATTGATTCAGCACATATTTGACTGCCTGCTAAATGCCAAACACTAAAATTCTTTCTCCATCTTTCTTACAACCTTTTCCTTCTTTGTATCCTCCTCCTCCTCCTTCTGCTTCTTCTCCTCTCATTCTTTTCTAAATCTCTCCCTTTTGCTATTTTTTTTTATTAAGAAAAAAAATAAGTACCTGCATCCCTGTCTCAAGTCAGTGGCTGGGAGGAGCAGGGCAATGTCTTCTGTTCTCTGTGCTAGAGGAGATGGCTCCACAGAACTGTCCAGGTGGAGGTCCTCAGTGGAGGTCCTGGGACTGGGGCAGAAATGGGATAGTGGGAGATGGGACGAATCATGAACTGTAGTTAAACAACAATAGCCTAGAACTGAAAACCATCCTTTAAAAGCTCTGTATTTCTGCTTATGATTAGGAAATGGCACTTTGACACGGCAGTCTGCCATTTTCCTTATTTGCTGGCAAATTAATAAACTCTTCTTTCCTTTTCCTCAAAAAAAAAAAAAAGAAAGAAAATAGTAATTTCTCACAGTCAACTATCTGGATATAATGATATTAGCATGTTGGTATATATATTATCACAGACGCTTTTAAAGAATATAAGCTATTACATATTTAAGCTTAAACTATCATAACCATTTTATAACTTTTTTACTTACCTTTATATTGCAAACATCTTTCCATGCCAAGAAATATGGATCTACATCATGTTAATATGTGCATACTTTTTCATTTTGTGATATTCATAATTATATGCAGTTCCCTATTAATGAACATTTTGGCTGATTTCAACTTTTTTATAATTGTGACCAATATAATGTATATATATGTTCATGAACCTCTTTAGATATTTATGCTATCTAGCAGAATGCTTAGCGCATAAAAGGTACTCAGTAAATGTTTAGTGAATATTTCCGGTTTCCTTTCCCTGGGGTCTGCTAGGGATAGAGCAGGGGTGGGGAACCTGTGGCCTCAAGGCCCTTAAGTGCAGCCTTTTGACTGAATCCAAATTTTATAGAACAATTCCTTTTATTTTTATTAATGCATGTTTGTTCATCTTTTTAATTTTAATTTTATTTTTTAAATGAACATACTTAAAATAAGGAAGAATAAAATAAGTATCAATGAAGTAATCCTCCCAGATTGACTGGCACAATTAGAAAATTCGTAAGCCACAGGGCAAAATCGATGGCTGTTTTGCTCATGGTTTACTTCTAACTTCCCCTGCCTGACTGGCGCCACTCCCTCACAAGGCTGGTTGGCGAGAGTTCATGGGAATTGAGTACACCAGTCTGTTATCAGCTTTTGGCAATGGTGCACTGTGTTTCTGTTTGAAGTGGAATTTGTGAATAGTTGCACAGCTCGATGGTATTTTTTATTTTTTATTTTTATTTTTTTTGAGACAGAATCTCATTTTGTTGCCCAGGCTAGAGTGAGTGCCGTGACGTCAGCCTAGCTCACAGCAACCTCAAACTCCTGGGCTCAAGCGATCCTGCTGCCTCAGCCTCCCAAGTAGCTGGGACTATAGGCATGTGCCACCATGCCCGGCTAATTTTTTATATATATAGTAGTTGGCCAATTAATTTCTTTCTATTTATAGTAGAGACGGGTCTCACTCTTGCTCAGGCTGGTTTCAAACTCCTGACCTTGAGCAATCCGCCTGCCTGGGCCTCCCAGAGTGCTAGGATTATAGGTGTGAGCCACCGCGCCCGGCCTCGAGGGTATTTTTTAATTCTGTCTGCTTACCAGCCCATCATGTCAAAGAACACCAAGAGAACGCTGAAGGAAGAAAACAGATTTTTAAATGAGGATTGGGAATTGCAATATGCTCTCATTTCTGCTAAAGATAAGATGATTTGCTTGCTTTGTGATACTGCAATATCAACATTAAAGAAATTCAGTACTCATCACCATTATAACATTCCTAAGGACCACAAATATTTTAAATTACATGGAGAGGCGTGAAAGTTCACGTTGCAGAAATAAAAACATGAAAAGCAAAAGCAAAGACAATTCTTTCAAGCATCAATAAGACCTGGAAATAATGCCACTGAAACAACTTATAAAGTATCTTATGTATTTGGGAAAAAAGGAAGTCATTCAGTGATGTAGAAATTGTGAAAGAATGGATTGTTGAAGTTATAGGATGCTTAGACCCCAATAATGTTGCAAAGTACAAACAACTGCCTCTTTCAGGGAGAACCAGAACTGATCAGCAGCATGAATTAGCCTTCCACTTAACAGAACAACTTCATGCAGTACTTCAAAAGGAAAATAGTTGGTCAGGCATGGTGGCTCATGCCTGTAACCCTAGCACTCTGGGAGGCTGAGGCGGAGGATGGCTTGGGCTCAGGAGTTCAAGACCAGCCTGAGCAAAAGCAAGACCCCAACTCTACAAAGAAAGAAAAACTTAGCCAGGGGTAGTGGTGCATACCTGTAGTCCCAGCTACTCAGGAGGCTGAGGCAGGAGGATTGCTTGAGCCCAGGTATTTGAGGTTGCCATGAGCTATGATGATGCCACCGCACTCTAGCTGGAGTGACAGAGTGAGAATCCATCTGCAAAAAAATTAAAAATAATTTAAAAATTTAGAAAAAGTACAATATATTATATATTATTCACTTGGTTTGGATGAATCAACTGATACTACTGACTGGGTGCAGGTTTTATACTTCATTCAGGTCATAACAGAAGATTTTCTTTGCTATGAAGTGGTACTCATTTTGGGCACTCTTGTGAATAGAACACAGGAATCTTCAACAACTCTCAAGATAAATGTTATGAATTTGGACTGAATTTGGTAAATTTAGTGAGTATGTGCACAGAAGATGCACTTTCCGTGACAGGAAAACATAAAGGGTTTATTGCACATATAAAAAAAGTATTAACAGTTCCTTAGGCTCTCATTTCTTTTCATTATATCTTGCAAAATCTCTGTGCTAAAGCTACTATTTAAGTGACACTTTGCAACAAGTTGTAAGTGTTGTTAACTATATTCATGCAAATGTAACCTGGTATTGTCAGTTTCCTAGCATGCTAAAGTTGATGGATGAGGTATTCAGTGTGAATTTGCCATATCATTCTAAAGTGCATTGGCTATCACAGGAAGAGATGTTAGCTAAAATTTTATCTCTGAGAGAACAGATAGTTAAATTTTATGAAAAACAGAAATAACAATGTGAATTATTAAAAGAAGATTTCTATAGGAAATGCAGCATGTCTGTGTGATATGTCAAAATGACTTTGAATATTTCTTTGCAAGGCAAAAGTAAGTCTATATGTGATATGTGGCAAAAAAAAAAAAAATCCAAGCATTTTGAAAAAAAGCTATCTTTTTTCAAAACACTTCTTCAAGAGGAAATTTCAGATGAACATTTTTCCCAGTTAGCAAAGGTCACTGATGAGCAAGATGATATCTGTGAATCATTTGAAGAATAGGCAGCTGTGATAAACCTATTAATTGGAGAATACAATGAGTCACTGACTTTGAGAACATGACACTCAAATTAGCATTTCAGCCTCACTTAGTTGATATCACCAAGGCATCTAAAGAACTACAGATGGAATTGATTAAGCTCTCAGTAGATGACATTTTAAAGTCATTGTTTGATGCTAAGAAAGATGCAATTGAAATATGGAAAAATGCAGTAGAATATCCAGGCTTTGGCAACATGCCCCCCCAAAAATGCTTTCTTGCTTTTCAACCACTTATTGCTGCAAATCTGCATTCTCCTACCTAACTCAAATGAAGATGTCCTAAGGTCACAAATGACTGATACCTACCTGGAGGATCAGCTGAAATTGCAGACCTCCATGCTGCCACCAACTATTCAAATGCTTTCCAACAAAAAGCAGACCAAATTCATTAAAAGGTTAGTTAGCTTTAAAATTAACCAGTATTTTTCATTTTGTGAAATTATTAAGTACATAATAGTTAGATATTTACAAACTAATGTACACTTTTAAGTATATCTAATGGAAGTTTCTTGAATGTGGCCTTATTAGATTATAGGTAAATTAATGGAGCCTTCCAACATGAAAATATTCCCCACCCCTGGAATAGAGTATAAAACTTGCTGTACGCTATTAGTAAAGGTAACAAAATGACAGGAAAGTAAATGTAGGGAACATGAAGAAGTGGGGGAACTCTGTAAAAGGCGGTAGGCTATTTAGAGTTAGAGCTTTTTGGAATCTAAAGGAGAGATGCCTTGAACTAAGGTCTCTTCTGCTGTTACAGCTATTGAACGAGTGCTTCGAGACGAAGACCCTCTGATCAAGCAGTTGGGAGAAATAACCCACAACATTATTAAGGAACTATCCCATGCAATAACCTACTTAACTGTTAAACAAAATTTACAAAGATTTCTTAAGTTTTTCTACATCAAAAAATTGAAGCCTCTTTATAATTATACCACGCCCTTCGAAGACCAGATAGACAGTACTATGGAGAGTCAAGATTTCAAGAATTATGAGGAGGACCTCACAGAAGAGAATGATTACCAACTTATTGGGTAACCTTCATCATGTCCTGGTTCTCTCTCCTCTTTCCACTTTCCACGTCTTTTCTTCACCTTACATTTCCCTTATTTCCCCAGGATTTCTGAGTTCTTTTCACTCCATTTGGTAAAACACACAACTCTTCGTTGGTTCCAACTCCAACCTGGATACCCAGATTTTCCATATGCTCCTGAAGATAATAAGGCATCCTTTCAATAGATTCCACCTTCTTCGGGAGATAGTTGTGGTTATGAACAGCACCTTTCTCCTTGGTACATTTTTCAAATTATAATGATCTTGGCAGACTTCCCTATTGTTTATAGGGGAAGATAGAAATAACTAACATGGCCACTGAGGCCATGCAGAAGCTGACCCTGTATCATTTGCCAACCCCATGGGACACTCCCCTGCCTACTGTCTGTGCTCCAGAGGCACGGGCCTTCTCGGTTCCCCACGCCTCCCCACGTACTAGGACATTCTTTCCCTACATGCTCTCCCTGTGCCTGAAACACTCTTCCTTCCCCCTCAGCCAGTCAGTTCCCACCCATTCTTCAAAATCCAACTGAAAAGTTATCTCCACAAGGAAGCCTCTCTCACTTCTCTAACTCCCAATTGATTTGAGGATTCAGCTAATTCTTCACCATTTCCCTGGCTTCATAAGACTAACTGGGCTGCCTCACTTTTGGGCTTGCATATTGAATCAATACACTTATCACAGCAGATTTTTTTCTTCCCATTTTTAGGTCTGTCTTCTCCACTAGATGAGAGTTCCTTGAGAAAAGGACTCTTCCTCACTCTTTTGTGCTCCCAGTAGAGGGTTTGGTTCAAGCAAAGAGTGAATAAAGAATAAATTAATGAAACACACAGTCAGACCTGAGGAGAAGAAGGTTCAGCCAAAGGAATAAAAATTTGCGAGTAGCTTGTGCCACCATGAAATCCAAAGAAAGTTTTAGATGGTATGATGGCAGTAACTCCTGCCAACCAGACACACCCAGACTGGGCCTTTGGGCCTGCAATTCCCATTCCCGATCAGAAAGATGTGTTGGTGTGATCCCAATAAACGTTCCAACTTGGCAGCCAGTCTTGTTTGAAAACATATTCTAAGGCGTTTACACACTTGAAGGGGAACTGACAAGCACAAGGTGCATCAGTCACTGTGTGAGCTACTTCACATAAATTTTACTTTCCATAATTCTCATGGTAACATTGAGGTGAACTTTATTATCCCAGGCTTGCAGATAAAGAAAACCTCTGTAATATTTGACTAAGGACAGAGAGCTAGTGCCCAGGCAGTGTGGGTTCATACGCAGCTCTGCAGAATTCCACGGACCTGGCTCTTTTCAGAACATAGCTGCAGTTTTGCTGGCCTCTGCCCCTAGCAGTGTAACATATTTTGCCCAAAAGATTTAACTGCAAATGTAACTGGTGTGGATGTGGTGAGCATTGTATGGGGGAAGGGCACACCTCTAATCCTGGCTTGGGTAAGCCAAAGTCATAACATGTAACCAAACTGTTTGTATCCTCATAAGATCCTGAAATAAAAACAAAGAAAAAAATGTAACTGATATGTTAGATAACCAAGTCTAGAGTGCCTGAACTCTGGGATTTTTAGGAAAATATATAACAGCATCTCTGTCAAGATTCAAAACAAAACAAAAAAAAAAGAGGTAGAAACAACTGAAATGTCTATTAATATAGGCAACTGAATGCATAAACCAAACATGATATATCCATACAATGGAATATTACTCAGCATAAGAAATGAATGAAGTACTCATACATACCACAACATGGATGAGCCTCGAATACATTATGCTATGTGAAATGAGCATATATTGTGTGATTCTACATATATGAAATACCTCGAACCCACAAAGACAGACACAAATTAGAAGTTGCCAGAGTCTATGAGGTAGAAGGGAGAACACTGAGAGTAAGTACTTATGGGTAAAGTGACTTTCGGGGGGCAGATGAAAATGTTCTAGAAATACAGGTGATGGTTACATAATATCATGAATGTACCAAATGCCACTGAATTGTGTACTTTAAAATGATTATGTTATCTGAATTTTACCTTAATTTTTAAAAAAGTGATAGAAAACAATTCTACTCTGCCTGAGCACTGGAAACATTAACTCAATCCAACCTCCTAAATAAGCCTGCTACCATCCCTGAGCCAGGGGCCTGGAGATGATGGTGGTTTTCATCTCTGCTGAAATGTGCACCATTCCCACGCCGCTGGAGAGGGCAGTGCTCCGGGAGGGATCTTTCTCAGGCTCCTGTTATATGACCGTAGGTGCACTTAAACTAGAGGGAAAACATCTGGTTTTATTTGCTCATAGTGTCCTCATGAGGCCCAGAGAAGACCAGCAGTGAATGTACTTGGTGGATGGTATCAGTATGTAAGTCACTGAAGGTATCAAAGCCAAAACCCATGGACAAGCTGCTTCTCGAGGCTGTGGACGCACTGTAGGGAATGGTTCACCTAGTCAAGCTATGCCAATCACAGCAAAAGGATGTCATGAGATATCACCTTTACTTTCAAAGAAGGGAGAGAAAGTATGACTCCTAAATATGGCATTGAGCAGTAGTAATCTCCATGAGGCAAGTCTCATGCAGTGATTTCAAGGCAGAGGAAGGCATTCCATGGTGGAGACTGTTGATTGTCCCCCACATGGTTACATGGCCACACAGCCGGAGACCAGTCTCTCTCAGGAGTAGGTGTGGCCAAAGTTATGACCGATGGATGGTGAACAGAAGCAAAGCATACAACTTCACATTTGCTTAAAAGGAAATTCCATGCCCTAGGTATCTGCTCTATCCCTTTTTGCTGGCTGGAACCCAGATGTGGAAACTCAGCTTCAAACTTGTTGGCAATGATATGTCCCTGGGAGTATAGCAGAGCCCTCTCATCTCCCCATCAGGCTGGGTGCCTGGATAGCTTCTCAGAGCAGGCCATATCCATCATGAACTTCTACAAGAAAGAGAAATAACTGTTTCTTTGAGTCTTTGGATTTAGGGATTTCTTTATTTCAGTGATTTAGTCTTCACCTTAATTTTTTTTTTTTTGAGACAGAGTTTCACTCTGTTGCCTAGGCTAGAGTGCCATGGCATCAGCCTAGCTCACAGCATCCTCAAACTCCCGGGCTCAAGCAATCCTTTTGCCTTAGCCTCCCGAGTAGCTGGGACTACAGGCATGCACCACCATGCCCAGCTAATTTTTTCTATATATTTTTAGTTGGCCAATTAATTTCTTTCTATTTTTAGTACAGACAGGGTCTCACTCTTGCTCAGGCTGGTCTTGAACTCCTGACCTTGAGCAATCTGCCCGCTTTGGCCTCTCAGAGTGCTAGGATTACAGGTGTGAGCCACAGCGCCCGGCCTTTTCACCCTAATTAATACAGTCTCTCACCAAATAGCCACCTCTCTAATGCCTGAAAATACACTACTAAAACTTTATCCTTTCCCATAAAAACACCTCTGTTAAAAATGCAAACACTGTATCTCAAGAAGGATTCACATAATGAGGTAGCAATAATTAGTTGTGTCTTGAATGAGTTGAAAAGGATTCTTTCTGGAAGAATATGAAGAATATAGCAGAATTCTTCCACATCACCAGAATGTGGAAGATAACAGTCTCATCAAGTTACTGCTCTTCAATTCTTGACCTCTAGGTGACATGCCTGTTCTTTAGGTATGGTTTTCCATGGTGTACCCCACTGGACAGCGGCAAAACTCGTCTGTTGCACTAACAAGAGTAGACCTGTATTCTGATCCAATTTTTTTGGATAGTGCTGAAAATTATGACTCTATATTAGATTAGATTAGCATAATAATTTTAATAATAGAATTTCTGGAATATATTGGCTAGATCCTTAAAAATTCCTTCTTCCTTTCTGGTACATTGGATGAGATTTCCTAGCCTGCCTTGCAGCTAGGTTGGCCAGGTGACTCATTCTGGCAGTCAAATGTGAGAATGATGAATGTCACTTCTGTATGTAGTGGATAAGCACTAGATATTCTTGCCCTTGATCCAAAAATAAAATCCTAAGCCTTCTGCTAACTGAATGGACCCCTCTTGGCCAAGGGGACCCCAGAAACACCTTAAAACTGAGTTCCTAGCCATGACGGGATGGAAGAGATAAACCACCATTATACATGGGCAAGATTTCCTTTCATAAATATTCATGAAATAATATTTAGCTTATATCTTGTTGAATATGTATATTTAACCACCTTGCTCAGTATAAAATCTTGTTCCTTTTGTCTGTCCTTTGAATCATGTGTGCCTGGCTTTTGGCCAAGGCTCTGCTTCCCAACCTGTTGGAATGGCTGCCCAACAGGCTGCTACCCCTTATAAGAAATAAAGCTCTCCTTTTTTCAAAGTATAAATCTCATTAATTTTTTTTAGTTAACATGCTCTTTCCCTTCTGCATCAGAGGTCATTTATGAAAGACAATGGCATCACAAGACAAAAGGTGCTTGATCTTTGAGTCACTACGTGGAGGACAACTTCCAAGGCAAGGTACTCAACTCACATCAAATTGTTATATGAGGATTGAAGATATGTTTCACTAATTTTGAGAAAACACTACCTACCACAGTACCATAGCTTGTAGCCTTACAGAGTTAAAAAAAAAAATCAACTAACTGCCTCTGTACTTCAAGTCCCTCCTCTTTTGCATAAGGAGTTTGGAAGGGGTGGCCCTGAGATTTTGATTTTCTTTTTACATTCACAAACACAAATTCTACTATGCAAAACATTTCACTTCCTATATTATCTGTATTTTTCTATAACAACTTAATTTTTGTCATAGCCTATTTTCTGTCTGAGGACAGAAATGCATTCTCAGTCAATGCAGGTTGTTGCCTCAGCTCCATCCTGTGAGTAGGATTCCTAGGGGCACTAAGTAGCACCAAGCCATCAGGTGATAAATGTAGGACAGAAGAGAGATGCCGTGGGTCCTTGGTCATCACCAACTATCCACAATGGCATCCCCTGAGACCACCTCAAGTCTGTCAGGGGGTTAGTCATTAGCCCATTTGTTAGGGTAGAAAGCTTAGTAAGTGCTCACAGCACAGGTGGAGAGGTGAAGCTTTCCAGAGGTTAAGTTATCAAACAAAAACGTTTATTTTATTTTCTCAGAAGGATAGAGAGAATGAGAATGAAAGAAAGAGAGAGAAAGGGGAGGAAAAAGAGAGCAGGGAAACTGTATGGCATCCCAAAGAAAGAGAAGGGGATGTCAGCAGCAAGGCCAAGTGGCTCACTGATTTTATGGGGACAAAGAGAATAAAAGTGATTGTTGTCAACAGTGGCTGTGGTATCACCTTGATAGCAAAGCCAGGAAATAACATTGAGAAGGAGAGAATCCTCCCTAACTCATTCTATGAAGCCAGTATTTCCTTGATACCAAAGCCAGGAAAGAACACAACAGAAAAAGAAAACTACAGACCAATATCCCTATGAATACAGATGCAAAAATCTTCAAGAAAATACTAGCAAACTGAATGCAACACGACATCCAAAAGATAATCCACCATAATCAAGTGAGTTTCATCCCAGGGATTCAAGGACAGTTCAACATAGGCAAATCAGTAAATGTGATTCCCCACATAAACAGAAACAAAAATAAAGGCCACATAATCATTTCAATAGAGAAAAAAAACACATTCAATAAAATACAGTACTCTTTCATAATAAAAACCCTCAGCAAACTA